TGGCTGAGGAAGGCCGGGTGGGAAGGGGAGGGAAGGGAAAGGTCACCTGAGGTCTTCAACAACCTGATCCACCACGGCGCAGCACTGTGGCCCTCAAATCACTTGTGGTCTAGTGGATCTGGGGCGGGGCTGGGCTGGGAGTCAGGAGACCTGGGTTCTGTTCCTGGCTCTGACAATGGCCTGCTGGGGACCTTGGGCCAGTATCTTCCCTTCCCCATCCGTAACATGTGGATAGCGACACTTACCTCTGTATGTAGAGGACCCCAGTATCTCTAGCTGACCGGCCTTATCAGAGCTAGATGTGCTGAAAACCCATGGAGGTCAAGAGGCACAAAGTCAGGGAAACTCCCGTATAAAGCTAACCATCACGTCTCTGGCGCAACCCAGCTGTTCCCAAACTAGTGGTTCACAGGGATAACAGGTGCTGGGAAGTGGGACTGTGGGTGGATGGTGGATAATTTGGAGTTCCTTGGGAACTCCTGGAAGAAGGCAGAAGAAACTGAGGACAAAGTGGGAAACATTAAAGCATTGCATCTTTGGACTGGTTCTCAAGTAGGATGTTAACACTAGTCTCCCAGCTCAGGATGGATCCTGATCAGGTACCGCTCCCTACTTCATGTTTATAGTTCAAAAGATGGGGTAGCGGCACAACGGGCCACCAGAATGGCGATCCCCTCTTAGTTCCTTATCAGAAAGATCCCAGCAGATCCAAGAGACAACCCTGTTCTATCCATCTACTGCTAGAGGAGTGCTACCGAGCCCCTGGGTACGCAGGATTGACAGGGAGAGAAAGATGTCTCCCAGTGTGGCAGATACAATCACCTGGATTGTGTGTCAGCTGCCTTCCAATTAGGGGACCTGACCCCAAGCAGGTCTGTACCAGCAATTTACCTGCTGGATGTGGCAATATCTGGTGCAGGGGAAAGGACAAAAAGTCAAAACCAGAGAGCATATAGGCCATAGGTCGGGGGCTAGGATCTCATGGGGGTGGGGATGAGGGAACAGTCCTGATTCTCAAGAGAATCAAGTGATGAACCCCTTTCCTGCCCCGACACCCTCTTCCAGCCCAGAGCAGGAGAAGTGTGACTTCCTCTGTCGCAGGGCTACGTTCACTGCCTTTTACACCCCCTCCCCACTCTGTCCCTGCTGCAGTCACTCGCACAGATGCACAGCCCCTGAAAAATTGGCTGATCATTTAAAAAAAAAAAAAAGTGACAGCACATCATATCAAATTAAAAGCCTCCTCTAGAAGCTGGTGCTCAGAGGCTGGGCCTGCGTGGAAGGGAAGGGTTTGCTTACTCAGCGAAATACAAGCCCCGACCTTGACTGGAAGACCAGATGGATTCTGCATCTCACCCACCTCCATATGTGGCCACCTCGCTAGGAGGAGGAGAACAAAAAAGCCTGACCCTTATCACTTGGGCATGAAAAGGTCCGGCCTCTGCATTTTCCTCGGTGAGAGATGGGCCGGCAGTACAGGGGAAGAGTAATGGCCAGTCACTGCAAGGTCACTCGGCTGCAGCCCGGAATAGTGGGCTGGACACATTCTCTTTGGCAAGGGCAGGGTTTGAAACATGCTCTGAACTGCTCTGCCTGGGATCCCAAGGGGAGATGGACCCCCTCAGACACCAGGGAAGGGGGCAGGATCCAGATATGCCGTGAGAGCAGTAAAAGAGCTCTAAGCGCTTCATAAACAGGGATCCACTCGCAGGCAGGGACCATCCTCATTTGCAGATGGAGAAGCTGAGGCACAGAGAGGACAAGTCACTGCGCCTCTAGGAGGCAGAGCTTGGAAATGAATCTAGGAGTCCGGACTCACAGTGGCTGTGCCATAGCCACAAGGCCAACCTGCTTCCGTTATTAAGCAAAGGACAGGCCAGTCAAGACAAAAACTAAGAGCCAAGAGCACAAAACTCATCAATGGGGCTGAACCCTCTTGCTTGCAGGCAGAAAGGGAAGAGAGAAGCTGCCTAAGGAGATCTGTAGCTATAAGCCCTTCAGGAATGGCTGGGGTGGAAGCAGGGGAGAAAACATAGACCTTGATAACCCACTTTCTGGTACTCTTGCACCTAGTCCTTAATTGTTTGTATTGCTCTGATCTACAACAGACTCTCGACTCCTCAGGCACCTTGCCTTCTTCGGCATCTGCAAAGCACCATGCACGCCTATGGCACTGCAGGGTAACACAGTCCAGGGACATGCAGCGCGCAGACAGGCTGGCATTCGCTAAGAGGAAACGTGGGAGCAATGAAGCCACCCACGAGTGTCTCCAAACTCCATAGGTCTGATGGGAATGGGACATCATGGCCTGCGAGTGACGTCACACACACCTGACATGGCCCTCGGGCGACAGCTACAGTTCACAATATTATTGCACCAACCCTACATTTGTTAGATACAAATTGCATGAGGACCCAGCCAGATTTTGAGGGGGAGGCTCCAGGTTCTGCCCAGCATGTTTAAAATCCTGCCGCACCCTCAGACCCAAAGGGAGGGTGGAAATACCCAGCTTGTGGCCTGCACCCCACCCCCTCCCTGCCTTCCCTTTACCGTCCATGTGCCGGGTGCACATGGTTTATTTTGCTGATGCTGAATATAAGTCATGGATCCTTTCTGCAGCTGGGCAAAGACCAGTAGTATTAATAAGTGAGGAGAAGCCAATGTGGCCCTCGTTTCACAAGACAGTCAGATCAACAGGAACTAAGATAGCCTTATTGGGTCCCAGCTAGCTGTATATTAGTCTCCAGCCCTGCGCATCGTGGTGAAGGGGACAAGGTACCAGCCAAATGAACAGTGATAATAAGACTTAATAGGCTCCAGGTCACTTCACTGCTCCAGCAACCTAGGTGAGCAGCTCAGTTGGGCTGTGATTGGTGCACCTGGCAGCCTGCTGCCCACATTAAATGAACGCCTGAAATTTAGGGCCCTCCCACCATCCAAGCTCCCACCCCACCGAGACCCCATCCAGCATGGCAACAGAGTCATTCCAAGTCTGCTCACCTGTTTACCAAGGTAGTGATCCACCCGGTACATCTCCTCTTCCCGGAAGAAAGTCCTCAGCTCGATGGCCAGCTGCTGGGCTGACTTGAGGTCATGGCCAAAAGGCTTCTCCAGCACCACCCGCAGCCAGGCTCCGGGGCGCGGCCTGCAGCTGCCGTTGATGTGGCGGGCGATCTCCGCGTAGGCGAAGGGCGGCACCGAGAAGTAGAAGATCCTGCCGGCTTCCTCCAGCCCCTCCTGCTGGAGCAGGGTCTCAATCTCCCGATTCAGGGCAGTGTAGTTCTCGGACGTCTTCAGCTGGTGATACCGGCTCAGCTTGAGGAACTGGTCTTTGACCACAGCGCACCTGTCGGGGGACACGTCCGACGGGCAGGCCAGCTTCTTCAGCACCTCAAACATCAGCCCCTGCCCTGGCTCGTGCGCCGTCAGCGCAGCCCCGTGGAAAGTGAAGCTGTGGCCGCTGCTCACCTGGTCCAGGTAGAGGTGGAACAGCCCCTCCCACAAGTACTTCTTGGCCAGGTCCCCCGTGGCTCCCAGCAAGACGACTGAGACATGCCCTCGGGACTCCTTGGCCAATGATGGCAGGGCGCCTAAGAGAAAGACGGCACACAGGGCTGCCCTCAGCATCCTGGGGGAGGAGACAAGGACCCAGGGAACCTAGAGGATGGGAGAAGAGAAGGGAAACATCAAGCTACATTAGCACAAAATATAATGCCACAAACCACAACCCCGGGTGCTGGTTCTTCCACAGCACACGAGCCAGGAATTTTCACCTGGATTCCTCTCCCCAAAAGTCTCTCTCCTGGTTTGCCACAGGTGGGAGTGATTAAAGCTGAGGTCCCGGATGCTGCATAAACCAGATGGCGTCTGTCAACAAGGAAGACCAGATCTCCTGGAGTAGAGCGGATCAATGCCATCAACACTGAGCAATAGGGTGGGCAGACCCGGCACTAGGCATAAGTACACTAAGCAATTGCTTAGGGCCCCAAGCAGCTCAAGGGGGCCCTCTATTCACTTTTTTAGAATGTGTTGTATGTGGGGGACCCCCAAAATATCCCTGCTTAGGGCCCCCCATGGGCTAGCACTGCGTGCGTGTGTGTGGCTGGCTGCACAGGACAATAAGGCTGCATTAGTGCAGGAAGCCTTGTCACTTCCCCCCCGTTTGACAGAGTTTATGATTATTGCCAGCAAATATTTGCATTACAGGGTCCACATGCCCCTATCAGGGCTGGGCTCTGGACAAACATAAAGAAGAACACAGCACCTGCCTTGGAGACCTTCCTGCTGCGTCAGCACTAACCCCTACATGGTGAGGTTTCTGAGTGGGAGTCGCTGGCTTTGAGCTGTGGAAATGAAATCCATTCTTACGCGAGTTTCAGTGTCTGCTGCAAACAAACGTGTGCGTCAATGCATGAAGGATGCTACTTCCTGCTTGGGGCTTTTCTTCCATTTTGGCACCGATTTGCATCAATATTGTCACAGCGCTTCAGAGACAGGCGCCACAACTGGGAGTCCTGCTTTTCTAGCTCTTCGGTTCACTTCGATAATATGCAGCCATAAGACTTGCACGTAACTATGTCCCCATGACTGGCACTGAATAAGGCTCCAATAAGCCAAAATGGACCAATCAGTCTGATGAAACTAGTCTAGTATATGTAGCTATGAATCAGTGATGCATTTTTTGTGCGTACTTGCACTTTTATATCTCTAAGCACTCTGCCTGTCTGCAGAGATTCCCCATTCTGTTCCCAGAGTTGCTACAGCCTATAACAGAAGAGATGAACACAGTCCACTCTCCAAAATAAACTTAGCTTTTGTTCCTTCTTGCTTCTGTTTTCTTTAGACCAAAATACAAGCAATTTTTTAGACGAAAGTACAGGTTTTGTTCTTTGTGCAAGGCAGTGATGTGGGAAACCAGGAGAGAGAACCCAGAAGGACAAGTTACGAAGACAGCACAACGGTTGATTCATAATCTATTGCATCAGTTGTTATCTCGCGCTGTTCACCTAGTTTCCTGGAGTTGTGCATTACTGGACAGCAGCCACAATGATAGCACAGTTGAGATAATCCAGGGCTTTCATGGCATTGCACACAGCTAAGCCTTATCTACAACAGCAAGTTGTGTCGCTTTAACTACACCAGTTTAATTAAAGCATGAGAACACCCCCAAATGCGACCACAGTCATATTGGTATAACAATGCTTTGGACCTCTATAGTTACTCCTGTACTCTGTGCCCACCGTAGTTTATGTACTAGCCTAACTACTTAGGTAAAAACATCATATCTCTCACTGACATAGTTACACCAGTACAAAACTGGTGTTTTGACCAGGCCTTACTGAGCGAGTTTCTCAAGTGTCTCAGTGAAACAGGAAATGTATTTGACACCACAGACCCCGTTTGCTTTTTGCACATTCTGCATTTGGGGCAATGAAACTAGTCGGTTTCACTTTCTAGCTCTCCTGCAGCAGCTGGTCAGGATGGATTTCTCCAGTGCATGGGCCTGGCAAAATATCATTTCAGAAATAAAAAAAAAGGTGACAATATTTCCATTCACATTTAGGGTTTGAAACAACCCGGTTTTCTTTTTACAGCAAGACTACACCAGGGCTCTGCTCTACCATGCAGAGAGCGTCACTCCAGGGTATTTGGTTCATTTTCCTCAGACAGGAAATACCCGTTCTCCACCAATACAGTAAATGATCCATAATGAAGGATGCAGGTTTTTTAAGCCTGTGTCCTCTGGCGTCAGTGACCCCAACAGTACCCATTCAGGCCATATAGGTCAAGTGTAAGGACTGGTCTTGTTCAGATTCTTGCATGAAATGGGAGCGTTGGGTATTTAGGATTTTTCTCCTGCTCCCCCAACAGCCTCATATCATCTGCTGCCAGTTTCCCCTGACCCCACTGCCTGCTCTGCCAATTCTGGGCTAGTTTACCTCTCCTCATCCCAAAACATCAGCAGAGTGGGGAGCTGGGTGCCAGTAAGGGGAGCGTGCCATGTTCTGTTTAACATGCTCTGGCCACGTGTGTCAGGCAGAGCAAGGTTTCTGATTACTGGACTGAGCGCTCCGAGCTGGTTTGAACCCCAGTTTCCAAACCAGCTTGTCCTGGTTACACTTGCTGTTCAAACCACGTTCAACACTGGCTCAGATGCCCTTGTTGTCAACCTTGGGTATCTTTCGGTGTAGACAAGGCTACCTAGAAGGAGAGTCGGAGTGGGCAGGTCTGCGTCTGAAGGGAGGAGAGAAGGGGAATGGAGTGAGGGAGAGCTGGTAGGTTTGGAGGATAAAGGCAAAGGAAGAGAAACAAAACCCAAACTCCCCCCCACCCCATCCCTGTGCGATCTCCCCTCTCCTCCAGCTTCTGCCTGGAGCTTGGCAGCTCAATGAAATGTTTCTGGCAGTGCCAGCACAGAGTGCTGGGAATGGATGGAAAGTGGAGATGTAGCAGCCCCCAAGTACCACTTTGTAGGCAGAAATGGGAAACAAAGGCTTCTCCACAGGCTCCCAGAATTCCTGGCTACAGCAGCCAGCTCCCCTCTCTCCTAACACACAGTGACCCTTGCACCAACATCCGTTCCCTTCCTCCTCCCTAAGCCCCACTTCAGGGCCTGGTTCTGGAACAAAGGACCTGGACTCTGACCCCCTGCACGGCAGCGGGCTGAGCGGGTCCCACCCTCCTACCACAGTTCATCTAACGGGGTCCAAGGAAAAGTCTCCTCTTCAGCGCTAGTGTTTTCACTAAATCAACACAGGGAGCCCCAGGAAATCTTCACGGCCCCATCGTGAACAAACGTGATTAAAACACACACTGGTCTCACCCAGCAGACTCACCCCAGTAACACAAGGACTTTGCAAAGACTGCAGTGGTGAAAGTGCTCTGGAAACTGACTTCTGCCTGTTAACTCCTGACCACAGATCTTTCTTCTCCTGCAGCCAGGGACAGGCTATGCCAGCGCACTCAGGACTAGCAAACTGATCGATAGGTAGACAAACAAGAGACCTCGTTAACGATAAGCCAGCTCAGCACTTTCTGGTAAAGGGGAGGAAACAGCAAACCTGAACCTCCCATTCCCAGCAGAGAAAAAAAAATGCTCCCGTACCCGTCCCCACCCGGCGCTTCAAATTCATTGGTTGGACCCAAGTTCCTTTTACATAACCGTCCAGGGATGGGGGTGGGAGGGAGAGATTTTTTTTTTCCATCATGGATTCTTGATCTTTTATTTAAAGGAGTCGGAGGGAAACCAAGGTTAAAGTTAAATATTTGCATCTAGGCTAGCGGCAGATGTGTGAAATGCTGGCCCATGCAGGAAGTCCAACTTCCCAAGAATTTTCTCTGAAACATTCATCTGATTAGTTAAGACACTTGAGAATCAAACCTCCCCCTCCTAGTGCGAAGCACTGGTAATGGCTTATAGTGAGCCTTCAGTGAGAGGGATTTAAGAAAAGCCTGCCCGAAGTCACAAAAACGGAGTGAAGAAAAGCGTACATTTTAATACACACACACAAATAAAATAAATTAAGGGTTTGATGCTGTTGAAATTCTGAATGCCCTTGATCAGAGTTGAATTTGCAGATTAGGAAAGACGGTGTGGAAAGATGGAGGAAAAGCACTAGTGTAGGTCTTGACAGACCGGAGTTCTTGCCCCAGCTTCGCCACAGCCTCCTTACATGACCTTGGGCAAGTCACTTTGAGGCCTTGTCTATGCACAGTTAAGCCAATAAGAATGTTACCCTCGTGAGAGATGTCATTTTTCTAGTTCAATCAGTATCGCCCCTACCAGTTATATTGGTATAAAGGTGTCTTATACTGGAATCATTCATTGCTTTTCCCCACAGGAATAGCTATACCAGTAGAAGGCACCTTTCCACCAGCGTAACGGCATCCACACTGGGTGTTGTGCTGCTTTCTCTATCCCAGTTAAGATAAAGCGCTACAACTTGCGTTCGTAAACAAGGCCTTAATCTCTCTGTGCCTCAGGTCCCCAGCCAGAAACGGGAACAACACCACGCCCCTTCGCCCACCTTTTGTCTGTCTTGTCTATTTCAGCCCATCAGCAATTTGGGGCAGGGACTGTCTCCTCTTACTGGAATGCACAGCACCTAGCGCGATGAGCGCCTATTCGTGCAGGAGCCTCTCGGTGCCGCTGTACTACTACTTAATGTCCTTTTCCCCAGCCCTGGCTGATCGGTGGGGTTTTCAGGTACACAGAGCAGCACAGAAGGCATTTCTTTGACATTTTTCAAACACAGGAAAGAACGCCCCCTGGCTGCAGAGGAAGAATGTCACACATTAGCTGAACACAGGTAGAGCAGGTCTAACCTGACCTATGTCGTCGGCATTTAGCAAAGGGAAACAGGAGATAGCCTCAGCGTTTACCACAGTGTGGAACGCTCTCTCAGGAGACAGTCTGGGATGAATTCTTTTTCTCCTGGGAGCTCCTACAAGATACATCTTCACTCATCAATCTCTCCCCAGCCATCCACTGTAACTCTCCTACCCCTCCCTCCTTACTTACTTCTTCACCACTGGCTACTTAACCTCTATGCAGCCATCAAAGTGCACTGACAACCACACAGGGCCAAAAGCATGGGACATAATCCCCTTGTCCACTGTATTATAGAGAGTGATTATTTTGCATGTGTACATGATAGTCTTTCCTTCCACTATGGAAATATAATAGAATAATATTATTGTATCTGGATCAGCAACTTCTATTTAACCCTAGAGTGCTTCAAATGTATTTAGATAGAGCATAAGTGAAATGCTCCTACCTTGTGGGGTGCAGGGGGCTAGCCCCCTAGAACACAATATAGTGCATGACAGCTGAGACGGGATGAGGAAGGATTTCGGCTAAGGACCCTGGCACAGCCCTCGAGTCCTATAATAAAAAGCCATGGGATCTTCTCTGATCTCCGCTGCATACAGGGGCATAAGGAGGGGGGCCAGGTTACCTGCCCGGCTGCCCCCAATCTGAGTAGTGTTGCGACACCGTGTGCCAGGTCACAACACCACTCGCTTAAATTTGACCCACGCAGTCCTGCGTCATCCAGTTAGGGGCTGGGGTGCTGCGTCCCCCGCTGTGCCTCCAGCTGTGTGTGAAATACCCCTACATAAATTATAGGGCATCATTTATCAACTCCAATACTGGAAAGACAAACCACCCCCATAGGGACTAGAATCTGTGATGCTACAGTTTGGGCATCAAAATCCTGGGCATCCCAAAGCGAAGATAACCCTTCGGGAGTTTTCTCTGTATTAGACCAGTGGTTCTCGAGCAGGGGTACACGTAACCTTGCGGGTATGCAGAGGTCTTCCGGGGGGTACATCCACTCATCTAGATATTTACCTAGTTTTACAACAGACTGCATAAAACGCACTAGCAAAGTCAGTACAAACTAAGATTGCATACAGACAATGACTTGTTTATACTGCTCTATATACTATACACTGAAAGGTAAGTACAATATTTATATTTCAATCGATTTATTTTATAATTACATGGTAAAAATTAGAAAGTCAGCATTTTTTCAGTAAGCGTGCTGTGACACTTCTGTATTTTTAGGTCTGATTTTGTAAGCAAGTGGTTTTTAAGTGAGGTGAATCTTGGGGGTAGGCAAGACAAATCAGATTCCTGAAAGGGGCATAGTACTCTGGAAAGGTTGAGAGCCACTGCATTAGACAATTTGTACTGAAGTCATTAAAACCAATTTAAAGTCAGTTTAGTCACACCCGTGCAAACCCCTACTGTAGACACGTTTACTGGTTTAAAGTGCATCATTCTGATTTAGCTCAATTTGGTAACTGAATTAAACTGGGGTGAGCATATTTTAAACCAGTTTAAGTGTGTCTACAGAAGGGTCTTACACCAGTGTAAGTAAGCTAATTTAGGTCACGTCTACACTCACATTTATGTCGGAAAAACTTTTGTCGCTCAGGGATGTGAAAAAAAAAAACCCACCCTCCTGAGCGATATAAGTTTTGCCTGCAGAAGTGCCTGTGTGCACAGCGCTTTGTGGGCAGGAGACACGCTACCGCGGACACAGCTTCCGCCTCTCGCGGAGGTGGAGTAATTATGCTGACAGGAGCGCGCTCTCCCATCAGCGGCGCGTGTCTCCACCAGCTGCGCTGCAGCTGCGCCAATATAGCATGGTAGCACAGACTTGCCCTAAGCCAAGTGGACTCCTGGGGGATTCAATTACACAGCCTCACACATTTCCAGTCCAACTAAAAACTGGTTACTCAATACTTCCAATTGCAAAACACCGCCCTGCTGTGCCCAGAGCCAACAGAATAAACCCAGGTCCCTTGGTTTACTGCTGTAGTCAGGGACGGTGCTACCATTTAGGCCAACTAGGCGATTGCCTAGGGCGCCAAGATTTGGGGGTGCCA